TTTACCCAATTATCTACACAAATGTAAGTAAATTGACAATCGAACTGTGAATGGATTGAAAGTGGTTTAAACCAAAGGGGTTTCTACTAGGCACGTGTCACAGCTCCAAGGTAAGCAACCCTAGATGGACTAGTTATAAAATCATATTTTATTACAAGATTGTACTTTGTCGGTTGTTCTGATTACAAGCAGAAAATCCAGTTTTCCATAAAGACTGATTTTGCAAGTTTTAAATGCAATCATTATACTGTAATTGTATGATTAATGTAACCGTGTTGCCATGAAAATGACTGCTGAAAAGTGACTACATCAAGCCAAAAATAAAAGCGATGGAGACGAAGCACCACAAGTCTTCAAAAATATATAGCAAAATCTACAGTTTTTCATCGAAAAGCGTGTTATTAAGATAGAGAGGGGTTAAGCGCCTCCTTACGTGGTCCGACCCGTAGTCAGGCGAAGTGCAGAGGCGTAAGTTCACACATACTCTGCCGCAGAGTTTAAGAACCTGCAAAAGCAGTTCAAATGAGAGCGCCATTTTGTGGGAATCGCTATTTATTGGAAGTGCAACCAAAAATACGACGACCAAATCTGTGATTCGCCAACGAGTTTTGCGTTTTATAACAGGAAAAATTGTCCCTCAGCGTCCATCTGCGGTTTAGGGATTAATCAAAATTGTAAGACTTTGTGTCTTTGCAAGTCAAGAAGTGCACAAACTTTGCTGCCAAGTAAGTTTAATATTATCAGGTGCTCTGCTTGTAGCACAGGGACTGAAGTCGAAACAGATAGGCGAAGCAGCACGGCCACAGTCAATAAACGATTTCATCCCCGCTCAAATGCAAGGTGTTTTAACAATTGCATCTGCTTGATTAATTTGTGCGCTGACATTGATGTCGAGAAGGGCATTCAGCTGGGCTTACATATTATTAATTTGAGTGCATGTACATTTTGTGCTTCCTCCTTAACTAGGTATCCTTGGGTCACAGCACCACATGTGCGCTTGTGCCATTCCTTGTCTACTACCTCTGAGGAAATTGCTGGCGTTTTTCAGATCCAAATTACAAGGCTCATACAGGGTCGCATTTATGCGTCCACACAACTGCTTCTGTTGAATTCTCTGGAAAGCCAACATTTAGTCTTCATCAAACACCAGTCCACTTAAACGCAGAATGCGATGAATAGAATAAATGCAAGCTTCATGTCATTT